AACTTTTGGAAATTTCCATATTTGAGAAAAACTCCTCAGATTTTGAGGAAATCTCAAAAATTGAGGGAATTTCTCAGATTTTTTAAAGGAGATGTCCTCGAAATCTAAATTGGGAGTTCGTCAAGGTTTCCCCTTTCTTTCCCTCCATAAAAATTTAAAACCAATGAACGATGATATTCCACGTGGTGCGATGTAGATCCACCAGATGCACCGCAATTTTTAGCAGACGATACATTTAACACTCGTGTAGCGCTGAATCTAATTGAACATTTATTTCCCTGAGGGAGCCAGCAACCATATAGGTGGCGCCGCAGTCCTAGGCGTGCCTCGTCGGCGGCAGCTGCACAGTTCGCTCTCTGACAAGGAACCTGGTGGGCTGTCCCAGCGAACACCGCCACCATTTGCCGAGGATCGCGAGGATCGTTCCGAGATGGTCCGCAGCGTGTCCGTCCTGGTGCTCGCCGTGCTCGCCGTCTCTGCCGCCGCGCTCTCTGTCGCCCCGGAGTCCAGGACGCCGTCGCCGCCGGTGGCGGGTGAGTAGGGCTCTGTGCAACACAGGGCATAGGCGGCCACTCCGTTTGTGGTCTGCCTGTCTGCTTAGGGACCAGGCTCACAAGGTCGGTGGGAGCACGCAAAAAACAGATTAGCTGGATACGTGATGTAGCTAGGTAGTAAAATTAGCTGTAGCATCTAACTTTTTCGCCATCTTAAGTACTGATCAGCCACTAGGATGACCGTAGCCGCCAGAGCTAGAAAGTTATTAGGACTAGCTAATATTCGTATCACGAATCCAGCTAATACATTAGCTTTCTCAGCTAATCTGTTTTTTGCGCGAGAGGCAAAAAAAAAAAAATTGTTATGTAGAGCCGCCTTAAACTTACAGAAAAGTTAACAAATTAAAATAAATGGGAATGTAAAACTACAAAACAGCATTATTCATTATTGCCCTCCTTTAATATGTGGCTCTCTTTGATCACTTTCCAGACCCGATTGTCAAGACTATAGTGAAAGATCCCCGGCTCTGCACGCCCAACCCAATGGCCTGCTGGACTTACTGCTCCAAGATCGGGAAGCCGGGCGGTCTTTGCAATATCGACTCGTGTATCTGCCATGACTGAATAACGAATGTCACACACGGAAGAGTTTCAAATACTGTAACCTTTATGAGAATAGAATACCGTTCAGCGGAAGATACATTTAACACTCATTTTACTCTAAAACTAGCTAAACTAACGTAAAAGAGTTCCACCCCGACAAAGAAGCGACGGGCAGTGGCGATACAAAATTTGAAACTTTCTTTTGAGGGGTAAGAAAAATTCGAATCGAGAACTCATGTGACCCAATATAATGTGTTGCGCATCCATATGTGAATTTTCATGCTGGCGTTTAATAAAATGGGTCAGCGCATCACGCACACAGAAATCAGTGAGCTATAAATAACAAAAGAAATGTTCATGGGGTCTAAGTGCGCAGGTAGCGCCGCAGTTTGAGTTGTGCCTCGCCGGCGGCAGCACACTTCGCTCGCTGATAAGGGACCTGGTAGGCTGTCCCAGCGAATCGGCCCCCGGCCTTTACTGCACAGGGACGTCGGGGACCCTCTTGGCTGCTGTCGACATTCCTAGTGTTGAGCTTCGCATCAGCACCATGCAGAGCCTCACCTTGTAAGTAGGGGCGGGCGCGAGGGCTAACATCGTGCACGGTAAAAACAGTGTCTTACTTAGTTGAGGCAAAATGGCAAACTTTGGGGAACTCCTATCATTTGACGAAAACGTGCACAGTTTGTAGGGGAGTCATTGCCAAAACTGTAGGGGATTTCCCTGGATTTTGGATGGAGAGACTCTCATATCTGAGTATTTTTTCTCAAACTTAAGGAGTTTGTTGTTAAGTAGAAGGTTTCATCTGTTTAAAATCATACTGCTTTTACCGTGCGCGCAATAAGACGCCTTTCATTTAGCAGAGGATCGCTGAGTGTGTCCGTGATCGTCCTCGCCGTGTTGGCCGTCTCTGCCGCCGGGCCCAGCACCCGCCCGGAGTCTAGGACGCCGTCGCCGGTGTCGGCGTCGGTGGGTGAGTTCAGTGACGGTGCTCATGCACACAGAAAAAAAAATAGTTGTCATAGCGAATAGATTGGCTAATTTGGTGACAGCCGAGAAATTCTCAGATGCCACAGCGAATTTCTCGGCTGTCACCATATTAGCCAATGTATTCGCTCTGATAACTAATCTTTTTTTTTTCGTGTGATAAAAGCAATGTTTGATTTTTTTTGGATTTATTTTTAGAGAAAAAAAGGAAAAATGTTTGGGAACTCCCCCCATGATTTGAGGAAAGTGGTTTCAGTAGGAAAGTATCCTAAAGAATTGTTGGAATTTCCCTACTTTTGTCTTACTTTTGTCTTACTGTGCTGTGCTTGCCTCACGTGGTCGGTGAAATGGGACAAAAGTATATTATTGGGTGGATCCGGTTCTTGAAAAATAAAAATTCAAGAAAATGTAAAACTTTGCACGCAATATTGGAAGTTGTTTGGCTTGACTTTGTTTCATCACTTTCTAGACGAGAGCACTGGCCGCTCGCCCCGGATAAACTGCGACCAGCTGCCGCCCATCATCGGCGGTCAGAACGTGGCCTGCGCCGCCCACTGCCTGACGCAGCAGGGGAAATTGGGCGGTCACTGCAATAGCGAAGGCGTCTGCGTCTGCCGTGGTGACTGACGACCGTCATTCGAGACATGGCGCAAACTGTGAGAAAATCTGACAGAATACAGATCTGTGCCAAAACAAAAATAGCTAAAAAGTTAACATTTTGGCACAATGTTCCATCAAGACGTTAGAAGGTAACAAGACCGCGAGCGCCGGGCGGTACCTAATGTATTCCTCTTTATTTGGCACAGACGACAAGCTGTTCCGGTTCACAGTTCACAGGGACACGGGGACCACCTAAACTGCTCCCGTAGGCGGCGCGCGACCCGACTCGGAAAAGTTTTCCGCAATAACGGGATTGGCAAGCGTCCTGCTGCTCGCGCAGTTTTCATCCCCGGCTCCGTTACAACGTTTGCCTCGCCCCGCCCCTCCCCCGTACTTATAACTACATAACTTTAAGGGCCGAGAGCCTCCTATTTGCACAACCTGTTACTACAGCTCGAGGGGGGCCTCGCGAATAACTTTCCGAAAGCAGAGAATCGATTCAAGCGCCCCCTGCGTCCGCCTGCGATCCAGAACCGGAACAAGGTAGTCGCTGCCAAATGAAAAGGAAACAGGTTGGTACAAACCACCGTACCGTTATGGGTAACCACAGTAAAACCCGATATATGCAATGTAAAGATTAATACCTTTGCAAAATTAGGATCAAATCAGTCAAATCGAAAAAAAAAAAAACTTGATAAGGCAACATTATGTTAGTGTGATTTTTACCCTCTTCAATGAAATACTTCTTTTTGTTAGTGAAAACAAAACTTTCACGGTGAATGGCCGGCGAGTGACAGAGGCAGAAAGAACCAAAGGCACAATTTCCCCCTCCGCACACTGCAGTTGTCATCCATCCCCCCTCTCTCTCTCTCTCTCTCTCTCTCTCTCTCTCTCTCTCTCGCTCTCTCTCTCTCTCTCCCCCTCTTTTTCCTAGGTAAACAGTTCGGTAGGAGAAAGACGCCGAGGGTCTTTTAATTCGCAGGGAGGAGGCTGATGTAGATGTAATTTAAGCAGCTCTTCGAATTCCAATTTTCGTTGCACAAAGTTTACTGTGCCTCGTGCCGTGCCGTCGTGATTCCTGCCCTCTGCAAAGAGCACGCGGTGTAAGTGTACGTGTGCGCGGCCGGGCCGTAGGACTCGGGGGAGGATAGGCGGAAGGGACAATGAAAACAGGGACGAGATTGGAGGAGCCGAGGGAGGAGCATGGCTGGCGAAAGGTTCAGAGGATTCCTGGGCAAACAGCACTATGCCTCAGCCACCCCAGCTGATCTGGTCGGTCGGCGGGGGACAGTCTGGGACCTCACAATAGCCTACAGACACCGAGGACTTTCCAAGCACTTTTTGCTTGAAAATTACCACGTTTGCTTGGAAACCAGGCAGTCACTTTTAGCGTGCACAACTAATGCAAAGCAATTCACAACCTATTGCTTAGTGTTATGTGGGCAATGCCATGCAAAGAGATAAAACGTAAAAGAAAATATGCGGGGAAATGGGCAGTGTCCTCACCTCCGTAGCATAGAGACAACCATCTCATCACGTTTTTATTTCATCATCTGTCAGAACCTTTTTTTCCAACAGTGCAGGTGGTGGGGTGGGCATATCGCGATTGAAGACCCGGCGAGTGGACCTTGACGTGATGGAGAGCCATTCCCTGCTCGGCGCGCACACCTTCCCCCTGCCTCCCTCCCTCACCCACAACCACCCCCTGATACAGGTCGGCACCCCCACCTATGCGACCCCGTGTTTGCGTAGCTTACAAATAATACAACGACGTGGTGGTGCGGAGCTCTCTGACGCGACGGGCGTCCCCGCCGCCGCCCCAGGCCGCCCCGCCCGCCCGAGCAGCCAGGCAGCCTGCACAGCCAAGCCGGCTCCGCCCCTCGGAAGTGTTGAGTGTCCCTGCCCTCGCCCTCCAGGGGTTGCACGGAGACTCCCCGGCACCGAGAAAAAAATTATCTGCTGATTCAAAAATTGCATCAGATGAACAAGGCAAAGTGCAGGGTGGCTCACTCAATAAGGTTGGATTTTCGCGTCACTTATTTGAATCCATGGCGAGTCCTGGAGCACCTCGTGGGCGAGAGGATACGTGCGCCACCGGGAATGGCCAGGATCATAGACAAACAGAAAAGGGATACGCCGCACGCGCTTCTCGCACACGGCTCTACAACAACAATCGTTCCTGCACCCCGCCGCACCAGACCAACCCCAGCTTGTCACTCTGCAACGATGATGTCAATAACTGCACAAATCTCGACGATGCGCGAGGGTTGGTACGGGACAACTCGGGCTGGTGCGGTAAATCATGGCGTTGGGAGTGGAATAAGTTGGCACGCCTGGGGTGGCTGAACTGCGGTACCGCCCCGCTCGCCCCTTAACGCAACAATAACACCCTCCTCCTCTCCCTATTTCCCTTCATCACCCGCTTCCCATCTCCCCTCCCGCCCGGGGACTGCTTCCGCGAGTGCACTTGCTTTAAGTGACTCTGCTGGTTTCAATAAATGCCGTATAATGACGACAACCCCTCCGCTCCGACCTCGACTCCTCCCCTCCCTCTCCACCCCCTCTCCAGCCACTGCTCCGCCACTCCGCTCCGGACCTCATCCGCGATCCGACATTCAAAGGGCTCCATCGTGTATACATAACTGGGGGGTCTCGGAGTCCCGGGTAAGGCGTATCGCCACGCGACATAAGGGGAACGCAAGGACTTCAAAGTCAGCGGGCGTCCCTTCTTCTTCTTCTTCTTCTTCTTCTTCTTCTTCTTCTTCTTCTTCTTCCTTATTTTCCCCTTCTTGTTCTACTTCTATTTCTTCTTCCTCATCTTCCTCATCTTCTTTATAATCTTCTATTCTTCTTTACCATTATCTTCACCACCATCATCTTCATCATCATCCATTTCACCTTTCTCTTTCTTCATCTTCTTCGTCTCCTCCTTTTCCCGTTATTCGGAATCCGATCCCTCGCACTCCATTTATTTCTCTGTCGAGTATTGACAAGAAGAGGGGTTGTACTACAGAACGTGTGTCCTGCCCTGCCGCTGCTGGAGAGACACTTGCGGAGCGCCGCTCGCATGGCGTTCCCCCCACACCTGCGTTTTTCCACGTTTTTTCGACTTTCCCTCTTCGTTCATTTCGACCACGCCCACGACTCCCTGCTCTACGTACAAACAGACTTTGCCTCGGCTTTGCTCTCACTCTATACCACATCCCCTCCTCTCCTCCTCTCCATGTATTTTTATTTTTTGTCTGCCAACGTTCCGCGCATGACACCCTTGACAACCCCAGGAGCTGCAAGGCTTCACGGCGGCGACTTCTAGGCCAGCCCAGCAGGCGACGACGAATACAACCAGAACTAGACTAGGGGCCCGTGCGTAGTCAATGTGCACGGGGTAGCTGAGCGAAGTGGGTTAAAGTTTGCAATTGTTTCAGTTGGTTTTTTATTGTTCGTTTTTCTGATTTTTTT